TGCACCAAAAGATTCAACATGCAAAGAATAAAAATTCAAACTTTCAAAGAGTCCACTCATCCAAGCATAAAATCGAGAATATAGAAGTGATAAAAGTGGAGAGCAAGATGCAAACTTAACATGCAAAGGGTTCAATCATTTTGTCCAAGATCATTGAAGATAAAAATGAAAACTTTCTAAGGATTTTTCACAATTTAACCAAGGGAAAGCAAGAATCAAAATAAAAGGTGAGAACTCCCCCTTGCCTTTGAGTTTTGGGCGTGAAATGGTGAGAGAAAGGGCTGGATTTTTGTGGATCTTCAAAGAGAGCATGCTGGACCGAAAAACAGCAACCAAGTTCTTCAAGTTCTTCCTCCTAGGTGAGTTCTTTCAACACGAAAAAATTGGAGGGATGATGGAGGAAGAAGTTAGTGATGGAAGGGTGAAGTGTTTGAGTGATTTGGATGAAGAAATTGTGGTGTTTGAGGGGCTGGAAGCTCTCGGTTTTCTTGAGAGAGTTTGAGAAAATTTGAGACTTTGAGAGAATAAAAATGATGAAGCAAAGTGAGAGAGAGAGAAATGAGAAATCAAGTGGAGAGAATGAGAAGTGAGGTCTCGGTTTCTTGTTTCCAAAATGGGCAAATGGAAAAAATATGAATAATTTATATGGAGGTTAATGTCTTAATGGTCCAAGGTAATTAGGAACTCATGGTTAGCTTATTGGATAAGCCTTGGAAGTCCCAAAATTTGCTCACGGTACAAAAGAAGTAGAATTGAAGTGAAATAGGTGAGAATGGTGCAAGAAAAAGGTGTTATGGTTTTTAGTGTAGGAATAGATATTTTTAAGGAAACTTGCAAGAAAAGTTAGTATATTTGGCAAGTAAAATGCATAGAATAATTTAGGGCTGCATGCAAAGGGTTTTGGGTGGAGCAATTTCCAAAAATCGGCACAAAACTCCAAGGTTAAGATTTTGGGCAGCAAATGCATGTAATTTGATTGGTCAGAAAAGAATGCGATATGACTAGGTTGACACGTGGACGAGACATTTGATGTGGTGCTAATTTCAAGAAAGACAATTAATTAAGGTAGTTATGGTGTCGGCAATTTGGAAGACATGAAAAGAAAGTTCCGAAATGACTTTGCCGGCGAATCGGGGGACAAGAATCTCTTGCATGTAATTCTAGTGGTCGGTACTAGATTTTGGAAGATTCGGGTAATCATGGTGTTTGCACTTTAGGGGACAAGAATATTTTGCATGAAAATCTAGTAGCCGATACTAGATTTGTAAAGATTTGAAGTAATGATTACAAGACTAAGTAATGATTACAAAATCTTTTGAAATAATTATAAAATCTTTTGAAATAAATATAAAATCTTTTGAAATGATTATAGAATATTTTGAAATGATTACAAAATCTATGTAATGACTACAAAATCGTTTTGCAGTAATTACAAAATCTTTTGAAATAAATATGGAATATTTCGAATGATTACAAAATCTTTTTGCAGTGATTACAAAATCTTTTGAAATAAATATAGAATATTTCGTAATGATTACAAAATCTACGTAATAATTACAAAATCTCACATTTTTCGAAAATGATAATTACGATTTTTCAATAATTTAAATAAGATAAAATATGGCTTTTTGAACAAGATTCTCATGGGTATTTTTGGGTAATACAACTGAATACAATCAAGACAATTCTTGGATGATATCGAAGCCAAGTGTATTGCATGCAGTTACTCTAAAATGCAGAACTTAGAGATCAAGTCACTATTCTCCTCAGTGAATAAAAATAGAAAATTCAGCATCTATCTAATTATTCCGACACTAGCAAGTCGGAATCAGCAAATAATTAAAATTCAAGAGCTAATAGCCAACTAATGAAAATTTGGGGCGTTACATAAGGAACAGTAAAAGTGTCAGGATCTTTACACTTCTATGGTAGATTAGGCTGTATCAGGGCTGACACATTTCTCTCCATGCTAAATCTCTCATCTCCTTTTAGCCTCCTTTTGTTAGTGTACAACTCCTTGAAGAACTTTGCATATTTAGGAATTTGTTTTATAGCATCTGGAAGTGGAATATTCACTTTTACTCTTTTGAAGGTATCAAAAAACTCCTTGTCAAGATCTGTTGGTGGCTTTGGCTTGACCACTCTGTTTAGAAAGGAGAGAACTAGTTTCTGCATAATATTTGAACTACTAGGGGTAGCTCTTTCTCACTCTCTAATATGATGACACTTATATTCTGGGGGGTTAATCTCTAGTTGAAAAGACAGTTGCCCAGACCCTTGATGTAACATATTTTATATTTATATTTATAATTTTATTTTTATTTTTAAACACTTTTCATATGCTTTATTTTTAGAGTTTTTACCATTTCCTAAGTTATTGAAATAAATTGGGCTTATTATAAATAAATGTTTTAATTTTGTATTCTCGGTGATTCTGACAACTGACTACTCTTTTGGCCATAACTTTTTCTACATACATCGTTTTTTGGCTGATTCTAGTTGCATTGGATTCTACACATTCAAAGCTTTAAAATGCATATGGATCATTAGATTTGCAATTGTTTTCAATTTTTTTTATTTTTGAAGTTGAGGTAGATATGCTTAATCTTGTATACAAGATTGTATTTAGACCCTTATTATTAAGGGTTTTGTTAACCTCAGCCCTTAGGACTAAAGATAAGCAGCTAATAATAGTAAAATTTTATTAGAAATAGAAGTATTTATTGTATTTTTATAACTTCAATATTATAACTGTGTACTTTTTTTAAATTAAAATCTTCTATTTGTGGATGCTTAAACTCAGTCCTAAGGGCTGAGGTTAACAAAACCCTATTATTAAATATTTGTAATTAGGCTTTTAGATATAATTAAGGCCTGAATTTTGGCCATTGAGTTTACCTTAATCAGAACCTAAAAATAGACTAATAAGATTTTGAATTATGGGCAATTTAATATTTTGAGTTTTGAGATTTGACTCTTAATAAGAATCCTTATTTTTTCTTTTCTCGATTTCTCTTATCTTCCTCTCAGTCTTGCTTGGGGTAAGTGCTTCAATGAAAGGCTAAACCTCTAATTCAATTTACGAAAACCAGACGATGTAAATTTGATTTGAGTTTTGGATTAAATTGCTCAGAGTTTGTTCTCCTTTTCTCTAATATCAGATTTATGAATTGTTATTATGATTAACTTTTCTGTTGGTTAGAATTTAAATCAAGGTTTGATTGATATTCTGATTTGATAATTAAATTTAGATTAGGTTAAATGATAATTTGATTTAATTTGTGATATAGTTCAATTAGGTTATTCAATTGAATTAATAATTAGATTAGATAATTGTTTAAATTTAGATTAAAATTTTTAGAAATTATGATAATTGGAATTACATGCATTTGAGATTCTTGAATTGATAATTCTTAGTCTATCTTTTTCTTCAAGTTAATTGCATTCATAATTTTTATTTATTTGATTCAAAGTTTTCAAACCTTCAAATTGTTACTCGCATTATTAGAGAACTTAAAATTGAATTTAGCTAAATGTGTGTCTTTGTGAATCGACCTAGGTTGAGCTCTGTACCGCAAAAATTCTTTGAAAAAACTTAGTTGTTTTAGTAGCGACTCGACAATTGTCTATCACATTGGTGTTGTTGCTCCACACGTTGTCAATTTTGATTCATTTTATAATTTATTAATTGTATTTTAAATATTTGCCAATTTTGCATAATTTGATTTTTCCTTGTTTCGTAGGCTTTATTCTGTGTTTATGTTGTTTGTGATTTGGTATCTTGTTCGTTTTTGCATTAATTCGATTGTTTAGGTATGTTTAATTTTAATTTTTCATCATAAAAATAAATAATAATAAATAAAAAAATTATAGATTAATAGGATTATTGCAAAATTATGTATTTTGCAAAATATTTGCAGAGATTTAAAGAGAAATAGAATCCAGATTTGCAAGAATTGGAGTTGGAGAAGAAAAGAGCTCATTCTTGGAGACATAAGAAAGGTTGCTACACTTTGGGAGCCTTTTGGAGCCCCTTGAGTGTAGAATTCCACACTTTGCCCATTCTCAACATTCTCTGTACTACTACTTTAGGGTATTTTGATAAATTTTTTGCAACTAATTTTGATTGCTCCCAAATTTTTACAGCAAGTTCAAAAAAATAAAAATAAAATAGGACACACGTATTGCCTAAGGTAAGTAAGTGTAGTCTTGCTAAATATTTAAAATTAATGAATTAAATCATAATAACAAACAAATAACTTAAATAAACAAATAATATTTTTTTATTATTAAATAATTTTTTAAATTAATTATTTTACTATCCTACCAATTTTTCTACTAATTTTTCAACACTAAAATTTGTACAAAATAGTAAAACTTCCTGCGTATTCTGCAAAATTTTTAGCAAAAAATAATTATAAGAACTAATAAATTTTCTTACTAATTTATAATTATAGAAAAAGCCAAAGAAAATTTTAATTTAGCTGCAAATTTCTTACAATTTTTTGCTGCAAATTTTTTGGCAAGAAAAGTCACACAAAATAATAAATTTTATCTACTGATTTTTATTTATAAAAAAATTCATAGAAAATTTTAAAAGTTTCTGGAAATTTACCTATGAATGTAAATCTGCAGGAAAAATTCACAAAAATTCTAAAATTGTTAAAAAATTGGCAGAAAATTAGCAATATTCTAGTAGTGTTTTAAATATTGATGAAAGTGTTTAATATAATCTTACATTCATGATTTTGGCGAGTTCGTACAAAATCTTTTGGCAATTAGCTTTAATTAACGCTACCATGGCAAATATTGAAATAAACATTATGTGATGCTTTTGTTCAGATTTGTACAAAAAAAGTCATGTATCTAAGAAAATTATGAAATAGGGAGATATTTTTGGGGGTTAATTAATAAAAATATTTGAACTTCTTAGGGTAAACTGAAAACGATTGTTCAATTGTAAAGTAGAGACAAGTACTCCCTTCACCAGTTTACAAACCGAGTGAAAAGCTTAATCCTATACACTACCAGTAAGGGTTCATATTTATTTCAAAACCCATCGAATGAGGGTGGAAATTGAAAAAGCTTAGCCGACATAAGATATGAAGCAAAAGGAGTCGAAGAAAACGCAACGGAACCACACCGAACCAAAAAGGATTCAGAGGACAAAGAAGACGACAAATACTCAGAGCGAAAGCAAAAGGAAGAGACTCAACCCCATTCTATTTCGAAACCGTCACCATCCTTCACTCTCAATTCTCCTTCTCCCCCTCCTTCCTTTCGAACCCGCAAGTCCCCTTCTCCACCGCTCCACTCTCTCTCCGACTCCCCCATCTCCGATGGCCATTCCTCGCCGCCGCCGCAAAAGCTACCGCCCGATTCCTCACCGGGTTCATCGATTTCCGACGGTCACTGCTCAATCGTCGACCAGCGGTTCTCCCCGGCGACGTCACCTGTGGTGATGGCTCACCGGTTCCAGGTGGAGCCTGCGGTGGTCACCAAGGTAGATCCCGGAGCCGAAGACGGTTTCGTGGGCGTGAAAGACGTCGAACTAGCAACCGGCACTGCCGGTAACCGGCGATTGAGACCGGATATATCAGGTTTGTTGAGGTCGAAAAAGATTGCCACGTGGAGTAAGCTTTTGCTGGGTTTTAGAATCACCGCTTTTGTGTTTTGCTTGGTATCTTTCTCGGTGTTGGCTGCTGATAAGAAACAGGGTTGGGCTCTCGACTCTTTCTATTTCTACAAGGAATTCAGGTACTGTATTAGTTCGAGATATATATAATTTTGTTTTTTTGAATAATATGCGGTTGATTTTATATGGTGTGTGCGCTTTGGCAGGTATAGTTTGTCAGTAAATGTGATCGGATTTGCGTATTCTGGGTTACAGATGTGTGATCTCGTGGTGTACTTAAACAGTGGAAAGCACATAGTGGAGCACCAGCTAAGGGGTTATTTAACTTTTGCAGTGGATCAGGTAAAGCCACTTGTTTTATCTCTTACTTTGTCAACGCTTCTTTTGATTTTAGCGACTCAAAAAGTTGTACTATTGATTGCCTCTAGTGACTTGTTTCCAATAATAACGCAAGAGTCCCTGAGGAAAAGTTTAGGCGTCAGAGACGACCGATATAGTTAGAGTCTTGCTGGGTTTGGGACCATTGTCCATTGGTTTGTGAATTTGGAAGTTAGAACACCTTTCCATGCCTTTTTAACCCCTTTTCACTATTTTGATTTTGCCGGCCCTTTGCTTTCTTAAAGTTGGTTCCAATTAAAAGGCTTCTCCTAAACCCAAAGTTTAGACCATGTGCTCATTCATACTTGTTTATGGATGAGACAATAGAACATATCAATGCTCTGCTTTTTAGATTAACAAGTCTGGTGTTAGACAACGGACTCTTGGAAAACTTGTTTTTTTATTTTATTGGACTCTTAAAGTTCGTATCTTGTTCGTTTTTTTATTTTATTGGATGAATTTATTTATTTTTTAATTCTTAATTTTTGTAGAATAATTCAAATGGTCTTATATTTAAGACAAAAATGGTATTAATAATCATTATTTTCTATTAAATCGTTTATTTGTTTAGTTTTGTAATTATTTGAATGGGTATAATGTAATTCTCTAGTCTATTTAACACATGCGAAGAAAGTTGATCAAATCTACAACCGTTAATTTGACATTGCCTCTTTTTGCTACCTTGAATGTAAATGACAAAAAAATTTAGAAATTCTTTTATATTTAAAATAAAATAAATAGAAAACTTTAATTATGTCATCTTTTATAAAATCTCAAAATATATATTTTTTCCTCAGTACATAAGTTGCGCAGTAAAATGACATGTAATTTGCATATAAGTCGCACCACGCAAATGCAACTTAGGCATTAGCACGGGAACTAGCTTAACAGTGCACCATCCTGATATAATTTATGCATGAGCACGAACAATATATATGTCACATCAGTCTTACACTACTTAAATACTAACACGAGACACTACTTAAATACTAACACAGTCGTGTTTGTAATAAGCACCTACTTACTTATAACTAATAAACAAAACATAAGTTGTTCAAGGCTAATATGATTAATATTAACACGATCATTTTTATTATAACCAGGTCTCGTGCTATAAATCGCATCATTCTTGGATGACTTGGGTTTTATTTTCAGACAAGTCTGGTGCTAACTTGAGCACGCTTGTACCGGAAAAAGAGTACATATTTTAAAATTTTACAGAAAATAACATATTTAAAGTTTCTATTTATTTTAGCTACCTATTTCATTTCAAATGATCAATTTATGAAGTCACGGTGATATCAATCCCAGTAATATTACACGCCCTTATTAATTAGGTGTGTTTTACACATTTTTGCTTCTGTATTGGATTCTGGAAATAAATCAAGTGCATCAGAGTAATAGCTTATATTATGAGCCCTTCTCAACGACAAAAATGGATTCAACCGTTTTACCAATTCCCAGCGATAAAATAGGTATAATTAAGACCACTATGTCATAGTTCTATAGTTATTTCTGGAATTTTATTAGCTCATCTATTCAAAATACTTGCCGATAAAAGTACTTAGACTATACATCCATATCAGTTTTGTTTCACTGTAAAAGGATTTAGATGAATATATATTGTGTTTGGAAACATTCTGAAAAATTTTGTAATCGAGAATTTGACACATAAATTACAAGTAATAGCGTTGTACGTTTAACAGTGACCATTCAATCATGAATCTAAACACGCTACTTGCACCCCCATCTACTGCGAACTACTCTATACTGAATTTCTAATCCTTGATTATAAACTTAACAATACTGCTACACTTTCCATTATTTATGTCTTGAAAGTTATGTTTTCTAGTTTCATGCTTGGATGGTAACATGGTGCAGAACTGCTGGTTTTCAATTACAGATATTGACATACCTTCTTATGTCAGCATCATCATCGGCTGCCACTAGAGCCTATGACTGGGAGTCCAATTGGGGTGAGGACAAGTTCCCCTACATGGCAAATGCATCTGTGGCTTTGTCCTTGGTAGCTTTTGTGGCCTTTGCCTTGGCCTCTCTTGTCTCAGGTTCTATCATTGTAAGGTTCAGATAATTTATACAAATACACGAATGAAGTGTGCAAACTCTCCATGCTTAAGACTTAAATTTTATCCTTTCTGGACTGGAAAGTGCCTATATTTTCAGAAAGCTGATCCACTTTGTACAGAATGGGAAACATTCACTTCATGTATAGGTACCACAGATGGATTTTCAAATTCCCTGAACTAGCATATCTATTAATTTTTCTATTTCATAGGATGAAGGTGGGTAGCATACTTTATTCGAGATGGGTGACTCGCGGAATCTGAATCCCTGATTCAAATTTCCCTGCAGTCTGTAAGCTCAACTATTAATATATATTTTAAAAAATTATTAATAAAAAAAAAGTAATTAAAGAAAATGAATGGTGAAAGATTGCACTTTCTGCAATTACTTTTTAAGAGTAACATTTGTCCATCGTCTTAATAAAACATCGGTTTTATTATGAAAGGAATTTGTAATTTAGTAAACACAACGGATGTTCGCACTATATTTTGTATTCTTCTTAAAATGATTCTAATGAGTTCTCGATGTAGTAAAATTAATTTATTATATGCATGCTATAATTATATTCAATTTGAATTATTTTTTAATTTTGTAGCTATTAGCTAATGTGGTTTACATATAATGATATAGTTAGCAATGATAAAAGGTACATAATTTTTTTTCTATACCCACAGTTAAGAAATAGAATAGTATCTAAATCTGTGCTCATACCACTAACAACTTAGTATCCACAACGATAGGAGTCTATATATTCAATTATTTAAAATTATTAGCCATTTTATAGATAAATAAAATATTAAATAAAACTGTAACATATAACTCGACCAAAAATTATCTATTACTTTCTTAAATTTGAGTTATTACGTGCGCACATATTACAAAGTTTCTATTTATTTCTTTACAATAATTTTGAATCCTATCAAGCTACGCTATCTGATTCTAAATCGCATGAGTGACTCAGGCAAGTTTGCATTTTATACATTTTTAAAATAAATCCTGTGTTTATTTTTAATAATATTTAGTATGAAGACTAGCACTTAGAGTGATTAGGCAGTGGTAAGCTTCTAAATTTAGTGGTCCAAGTAGTAAAATTCAAGGACAGTAAATCCGTTGGTGAAAACTACTTAGTTAATGTTGGGTTCTGTCACATGAAACATTAAAAATATATAAGTGGTTAATAGGAAAAAAAAAACAGAAAATAAAAGATATAAGTGATTAGGCTATTAAAAAATATCAAACGATTCAAATTTAAGAAAAAAAAAAAAAATTATTGCAAGGCAACTCTCTCAAACGACACCTTTAAGCTTTCAAGATTATGATAGATTTACATCTCAAAATAAACTTACGGACAACAGAAATAGTAAATGCAGTACATAATTGGTCAACACTTAATATGACATGTGCAAAATTCAGAATGCAGTAATACCTGAACAAAAATAATAAAATTATTACAAGTGCTTGAACAAGAAATTTTAGTTAAACATGTTCAGAAATCATACACCTTAATTCATGATGGATTAATTCATGTATCTGTAAAGCCCATGTACAGACTAGAAGTCAATACAACAATAACAAAGTTTACATATATATAAAATTGAAGAAATTTTATGATTTTGTAATAGTTGTTGCAGAAAGTAATTTCTACAATGGACATATTATTCATATTTATAGTTTTATTTTAATTTAAAAATATTTTTTACAAAATTTATTTTTAAAATTTTTATTATTTTTTAGTAATTAAAATAAATTATACTTATTATAAATAAATACATTTTTTTAACTATTATGACTTTTACCTACTCTTTTGACGATAAATTTTTTTATAGATATTGTTTTTACTTGATTCTAGTTGTATTATATTTTAGACATCCACGACTTCAAAATGCATATATGAATTGTTGAATTTGGAGTTTTTTTTTTTATTTTGTATAATTTTTTGAAATTAAGACAAATGTGCTGAATTTTGTATACGAAATTACATGTGAACCCTTGTAATTGAATATTTGTATTTGGGCTCTTAGTTACAATTGAGACCTAATTTAGGGCATTTAGTTTACTCTAATCAAAACCTATTCATAGTATAATGAGGCTCTAAATTGGTTGATTTTTGTTAGTTTGACAATTTTAAATTTCAAACTTTCAGTTTTGGCTCTAAAACTTTTCCTTGAATCCTTGTTCTCTTCTTCCTAAATTCTCATCTTCTTCTTATTCACGTTGTGATTAGTGCTTCAATGGAAGGATAAATCTTTCATTCAATCCACATATTGTAGATGGTGTAAATTTGATTTGAATTTTTGTACCAATTGCTTTGAGTTTGTTCTCTTCTCCTCTAATTTTGAATTTGCAGTTATAGTGGCATGATTAACTTTTCTGAGTTAGAATTTAAATTAAGATTCCATTCTGACTTGATAATTAAATGTAGATTAAGTTAAATGATAATTTAATTCGTAATATGATTTAATTAGGTTATTCGATTAGATTAATAATTGGATTGGGTAATTGTTTAGACTTAGATTAAAATCTTGAGATACTGTGATAATCAAAATTACAACCATATGTGAATCTATGGATTGATAATTCCTATTTTCTTTTTTTTTTGGGAAGTTAATTATGTTATTGTTTTAAATTCATTTGATTCGAAATCTACAAACTCCCAAACTACTTTTGCATCACTCAAATCCTAAATTGAATATAGCTGAATATGTGTCTCTGTGAATCGACCTAGGTTGAACTATGTACTTAAATTCTTAGAGAAAACTTAGTTGTTTTGGTAGAGACTTAACAATCATTATCAAATTGGCACCGTTACTGAGGACAAGTTAGTTTTGATTTGTTTTAGGAGTTTTTAATTGTGTTTTAAGTGTTTGTTAATTTTGCATAATTAGATTTTCCCTATTTTGAATGTTCTGCTGATTCTATGTAATTTTGCAGTTTCTATTGTTCTGTGTTTCTACAATTCTTGATTTATTATGTTATTTGTTTTACATGTTGCGTGCATGATTAGTTTGTTTAGGTGTGTTTGGAAAAATAAAATTGAGATAATTGTTCACCATCTAAAAAAATTGAGATTTGAGAATAATCAGAACTAGAATAGACAAGTTTGGAGTTACGAATTTGAAGTTCGCTATTCTTGGATAGTGCAAAGAGGTTGGGCCACTTTCGAAGCATTTTGGAGCCTCTTGAGTGAAGAATTTCACAATTTGCCCATTGCTTCCAAATTTTGCTCAAAATCTCAAATTCAATCGTTTAGACTACTTTTCTATTTTTTTTTTATTTTTAGCTTATTTAAAAATCACCAAAAAATTCTCAAAAATAGGAAATAGTCATAGTAGATGAACTGTGATGGTCTGAAATATTTTAAAATTCATTTAATGTGTTTTTCCATTTTTTAGAGCTTTCTGTCATATATATGTTAAAAAGTGCAATTTTGACTATTTTGCCCTTAGGTGCATGACTAGGACTAATTCTTACCAATTGCATGAATTTGATAATAACCATCATCAAAGAACGCTTAAGGAATTAGCTGCACTAGACATTACATATCAACCCTTAGGCATCCAGTATCCTGATTTAGATGCTCTATTTGAGTTAAAGTCTGGTCTAATCCATTTGTTGTCAAAGTTTGATGGTAGTGCAGGTGAGGATCATCATAAGCATCTGAAAGATTTCCATATAGTTTGCTTTACCATGAGACAACAAGGAGTTCCTGAAGATCACATTAAGTTAAAGGTATTTTCATTCTCATCAGATGGAGCAACCAAAGTCAATAACATGCTGGATTAATATGAAGAGGATGTTTCTAGAGACGTTTTTTCCTGCATCCAGAGCAGTGACCATTAGAAAAAAAATTAGTGGCATAAGACAGTTCTTTCAAAGACTTTGTATGAGTACTGAGAGGGATTCAAGAATTTGTGTGTAATATGCCTACACCACCAAATCAATGATCAATTGCTCATACAATATTTCTATGAAGGCCTTGCTCAAATTGTAACGCCCCAGATTTTTGTAATATTGATTATTGTTACATATATACATGTAAATGTGAATAGATGTTGGAATTTGCACTTGAGTGCGTGATGACTATTGAATGATGATGTGTATAAATGCGTATGGATAAATATGCAATTATAAGAGTATATATATATATATATATATAATCAGATCTTAAATACTTCTCTGATTTTGCCCTGGCATGGGTATTCTCATGGCAATACATATATGGCAAGACAGAAAATGAAGACACTCTCCCATTGTTACACAGGTATTCCTTTGTAAAATGGTGGAATCAATTCAATGCGGAACATGCCGGACCAGAAGGAGTTGCTGAATATTTTGGGAAAAATCCCAAATTATTAAATCTTGCTGACCCAGCAACATTCCAATTCCTTAATCAGAAATCCAAAATTGCAGCATTCTTATCAGGATGCGATACCAAAGAGAAAATGAAGAAAAATCTTCAAGATGTTCTCCTGTTGTTGCAAAACCAAGAAGAAGGAGAATCTTCTAACCAAAATGCCAATATTGAAGAAAATCAAAATGAAGATGATTGTTTCGGTATTGACATTCAGGATCTTTAGAAACCGGTACTATAGTTAATAGTTCCAGTCACCAACCGGAACTGTAGAAATAGTACTTTAAGATTTTCTATATAAGGAGGCCTCGACTATATTGTGAGGTACCCTTTCATTTTAGCAAGATAAGAGAGATTTAAGAGAGAGAAGCTCTGAGAGAAAAACTTCTTGTAAGCCTTCTTCTTTGAGATCTTTCAATAAAATTTGCTGTTTCAAATTATTTACCTCTCTTCTCCCTCTTAGCCGGTCCTGTTCGGACTACCGGGGCAGTAAATCACTTTGGACTATTTGTCCATCTTTGATTTGCCAGGTTATAACATTAGCAGAGGAGGTACTAATAACATCTTCTTGCCAGGGATAATTAATATTATTTCGAATGGTATAAGCATGATACCAATCAAAGAATGGAATATTTTGTTTGACTTTTTCGAGAAATTGATAGAATTTCTCTTGGATAGCAGACCTGTCTTTTCCCCTATAATTTTGAAAGAACCAATCATTCTCCTGAAATTACACCCAAACACAACCTCTTCGACGAAGAAGTTCGTTTTGAAGAGATCAACCAAAGTATGGATGACTGGACCATCCCAGTCATTCCTCAGGATACT